GCAGGCACATTTTCAACACAGACAGAAATGTGCACATTGTACAAATACTACTGTAGATTCACGTGTGTGTCACACTTTTCTGTGTTGTCTATCAAACAGGTAAGCTGTGACATCCCCGGACTCTGCCAGCAGGATTACTCCTCCTACATCTGCTTCCATATCAGCACCAGCATGCTGGAGATCAGCAAGAAGGCAGAAACGTGACTGACGAACACCTCGTCTGCCTCACACAGTCAGAACCAGAAATAACTCGGCATCATTAAAACAAAATCAACCAATATTTCTCTGGAGCCAGAACAGATAGCCCCGTGTAAATAATCTCTTCTTTGGATGGATGTCTGTCTTTGTCACAATGCCAGCTGCGCTCTACAACTATTAACTAGAATGCTTTCAAGATATGTGTTTTTATGCTGTAAATATATATATATATAATAACTAAGCATATTCTTCCAAAACTGTTGTAACTTAAATAATAAAAAGATTAAACAAAACACAATTCACTGATCAAATATCTTTTCAGATACAAAGTTGAGTTTAAGCAGTACACCAAAAATAAACACACAAGCAGCAACAATTCTTGTAAATCATAAGAGATGCCTTTTTATGTATAGCTATTTAAAAAAATAGGGAAACCTGGTGAAAACAATGGGCCTTTGGTTTTGTTTTTGTAAAAGACTGACAGATCCAGAACATAAACGTTGAAACTGCATAGAAAGACTTAAAATATTCTGATGCATGCTCAATAATCCACGTAGATAAATCGAACAAGGTTGAGTCAGGTCCTCTGGATGGATTATTGCTGAAACATTTCGTCGGACAATCTGAAGTATTTTGAATAAAAGACAACGCATTTCAACAAAGAATCCATCATGAGGGCCTGACTCAAACTTTTTGGATTTCTTAAAATAGTTTGCAACATGTAGAAAAACATTTTCTTATGATCTCCAGCACAAATGTTACTCTTTAAAATATTCAGAGCTAGATTCCAGAGCACTATAACCTATGAGTGGTAAACGAGGAGTCATATGTAAGTCTGAGACTTTTAATTTGATTTATTTAAAAGTAAAAATCTGTCATACAATGTAATATAATTACTGAATCCTTTGGGAAATGTGTTTAAAACTCAGTGCTGTCCCACTAGTTGATATTGGTGACGTTGACATCAGCAAACCGCTCACCCAGATGACGCCATACATGCAGTTTGCCATCTGCACACAGTGAGAAACGGGATTCATCCGTGAAGAGAACACCTCTCCAACATGCCATATGTCATCAAATGTGAACATTTGCCCACTCAAGTCGGTTACGACGACCAACTGCCGTCAGGTGGAGACCCCGATGAAGACAAATTGCAGATGAACTTTCCTGAGATGGTTTCTGACAGTTTGTGCTGAAATTCATTGGTTATGCAAACTGATTGCTGCAGCTGTCAAGGTGGTTGGTCTCAGATGATCTTGGAGGTGCAGATGCTGGATGTGGAGGTCCTGAGCTGGTGTGGTTACACATGGTGGAGGCTGCTGGATATACTGACAAGTTCTCTGAAACACCATTGGAGATGATTTATGGAGAAATGAACAATCAGCTCACGTGTGACAGCTCTGGTGGACATTGCTGCATTCAGCATGCCAACTGCATGGTCCCTCAGAATTTGTGATATGTCGCTTGAACATTTTAGAGTGGCCTTTTGTTGTGGTCTGCCTACGGCGCACCAATCATGCTGTCTAATTACATCTTGCTCAGCCACACCTGTGAGGTGGATGGATTATGGCAGCAAAGCGAAGCAGATTTACACAAAATTATGAACAATATCTGAGAGAAAAAGACCTTTTGTGTACAAAGAAAACATTTTAGATCTTTGAGTGCAGCTCATGAAAAGCGGAGCAAAATCAAAAGTGTTGTGTTTATATTTTTGTTCATTTGTATGTTAAGGTTTGTGTTCTTGCATGTGCAACTAAATCCCAGTAAGTCAATTTTGATTTATTCTATTTTTTTAAATTTTTTATTCAATGTCGGGCATAACAAGGCATTTTTATTTTATTTTAGCAGTTATCAGTTGCATTTTATCTTTCAACAGTCTGATAGTTCTTTTAGGGCTGCAGTGATTTTTTTCTGGTCATAATTGTTTTTTGCTTGGCTGCATTGTAGCAGACTGCAAACGGATCGTTCCCTTCGTGCGCGCGCGTGTGCGCGTGGGTGTGTGGGACAGAGAGAGAGAGCGAGAGAGAGAGAGAAGAAGAGAGATGAGAGGTGTTAGGAAAAGCTGGCCACTCAAGCTGTGCCACTCATTGCAAGAAGCAGGCTGGTGGAGAAACATTTTACGCGTGAAGGATGAAGGCTGCAGTTCTGGTCAGTCGGCGGTCCTCGCGCAGCTTCTATTAATGACCTTTTCCTCTTAATTAGTTTGGAAAATGTGGACAGTTCCCAGGCCAAAATACAGAAGGGGTTTGAGTGATGAGGAGGAGATCACAGTGAACATTGGTGGAGTCAGAGTGGTGCTGATGGGGGATGATTTGAAGCGCTACCCGGACAGCAGACTGGCGGAGCTGGCCAACTGCTCCACTCAGAATCTGGAACTTATATCCTCTCTCTGTGACGACTTTGATCCAGGCAGAAACGAGTTTTACTTCGACAGAGATCCTGACTCCTTCAAGTGCATCATTGAGGTTTACTACTTTGATGAAATCCACATCAAAACCGGCATTTGTCCCATTTGTTTCATCAAGGAGATGGAGTTCTGGAAGATAGACCAAAGTGTTTTAGATGAATGCTGTAAAAGTTACCTGAGTGAGAAGGAGCAAGAGCTGAGAGAGATCGCAAGCAAAGTCAAAGTTATTCTGGAGGACATGGATGTGGATCAGGGCATCACGCGCACGCAGCGGTGCCAGAGGTACCTGTGGAAGCTGATGGAGAAGCCGGGTTCCTCGCTGCCGGCGCGCATCGTCGCCATCGCGTCCTTCCTCTCCATCCTGGTCTCCGCGGTGGTCATGTGTGTGAGCACCATCCCCGAGCTGCAGGTGACGGACGCGGAGGGGAAGCTGGTGGAGCACCCGACCCTGGAGGCGATCGAGACCGCGTGCATGTTGTGGTTTACCGTGGAGTTCGTGCTGCGCCTCGCCTCGTCTCCGAACAAGCTGCGCTTTGCGCTCTCCTTCATGAACATCATAGACTTCACGGCCATCATGCCTTTCTACGTGGTCCTGTCCCTCACTTACCTCGGCACCTCATCTATGATGGAGCTGGTGAACGTCCAGCAGGCCGTCCAAGCGCTGCGCATCATGCGCATCGCGCGCATTTTTAAGCTGGCGCGCCATTCTTCGGGGCTGCAGACTCTGACCTACGCGCTGAAGAGAAGCCTCAAAGAGCTGGGTCTGCTCCTCATGTACATGGGTGTGGGCATTTTCGTGTTCTCCGCGCTGGCCTACACCATGGAGCAAAGCCACCCGGAGACGCTTTTCAGGAGCATCCCTCAGTCTTTCTGGTGGGCCATCATCACCATGACCACGGTGGGTTATGGAGACATCTACCCCAAAACCACCCTGGGCAAGTGCAATGCGGCCGTGAGCTTTCTATGCGGGGTGATAGCCATCGCTCTGCCCATCCACCCAATCATTAATAACTTTGTTGTCTTCTACAACAAGCAGAAAGTGCTGGAGACTGCAGCCAAGCACGAAGTGGAGCTGATGGAGCTGAAGTCCGGCAGACAACCGCGCAGGAAAAGTAATGAATAAGAAACACTAAAAACATATAATCAAAACACAGTTTAAAGATCAAAATAATGTAAAAGTTTTTTGAAACAAAAGCTGACCTTTAACATGATGCCTGTACATAACGCTGTTACTGCCCTTTATGGACCACATGTGATGTGCAGCTTGTTGAAGGTTGTTACAGAATAATAAAAAGTGTGCATGAAAAGGAGAGTGATGACACTGAAACTTTTCTTCTGAACTTCAGTCCACCTGAATTAAGAAATAACTATAAAGAATTTGTCCAAACATGATGACATTTTTTTATTATTTGTATTGGCAGTAAAGAGGATGAGAAAACTGAGCTGCAAATATAAATATATCCATAAAACTTTGGAAAAGGGGCTGTATTTGTTAAATTAGATGAGTTAAAACATGATGTCTTAAGATGAAATATGCGTGAGAAGTACATCTTTTCCATCAGGTTTCTCTTTAGGGCATCTCAGAGAAATAACTGGTTTTCAAACAGCTCTTATGAGAGCCATGTGATTTCACAGGGTCAGAAAGTTAACAGCCAACAATTTTTGTTTCAGCTGGTAAAAAGTGTCTTGTTGATTTCAGAACCACAAAATTCAAATAAATGATACTTTTAGACTCAGAATGAGGAGAAATCAGCAGCTTGTTCTTCACACTGACACTGAGCTTGAGTGTTTTATACATTTATCAGAGAGATTCCTGCAGAGGTGGATTTATTAAGTAAAAGTATAGTTCCTTTGATCAAATTTTACATGTGTAAAGTTACTTGTTTAACAATCTACTCAAGTAAAGTAAAAAGAAACTCAAAAATTTACTCTGAGTAGAAGAAGTTACATTTGAACAGCAAGAGGGTGTCTCTCTGTGATGCACAAAAGACAAGAGGATATATTTTGCTCAAAGAAGTTCTTAGACTGAATCACCATGCGCAATAAAACAAAACACTCACATATATTGGAGTTTAAATAGTCTTTTCAGTGAAGACCAGCCCATAGTGACAACAAAACGTTAAATAGATAAACAGTTGAGAGAAAAATGTGTACATAAAACAAGTCATTAGAACCATAAATTAAACTGATCTTAAAATTATTGAATTATTACTTTAACATTTATTCAGCTGCTGATTCATTGACTGTTTGATTGAAAACTAAAAACCACGAGGTGGAGTTTTTTGCTCTATCCACGTGTTTAAATGAACAAATCTTAGTTTAAGGAGATTCATTTCAAATAAAATGAAATAACATCAAAGTTCATGCTCAGTCATCCAGGTACAAAATCCAGTTATGGTCAATCAGGTCATCTGGACAGTTTCTTTTTTGTGGAAAGACGTTTCGCCCTCTATCCGGAGGGCTTCATCAGTCTGAAGAGTCCCAAGTAAACGGTTAAAGTAAAATGAAGTAACATTCTTAAAACTAAACATGCTCAAGTAAAAGTTAAAGTAAACTCCCTAAAAAGTACATAAAATAATGCATAATTACATCAACTTCAATAGCTTTAATTGGTCACGTTCAACCTCTGGATCTCTGTGGTCACAAACAGAAACCAGTAAAAAAACATCTATAAGTCTTGTATGGATATTCTGTAAAATGATGCCACTGAAATCTTTTTCAGGCACATTTTCACACTTTATTTTTGCAACCTGCAAAATGCTTTAAAACTCCTTCCTCTTGCCAAAAACATTTGTTTCTTTCACTTCATCCAAGAGGCTGTTTGAACAGTGTCACAGCGGGTTATTTTTTTCCTTCTGCAAATATCTTTTTATAGGAAAATTTACAATAAAAGCTTGATTGGTCGAACTGAAACAAAAAAACCACACATCATGAGTCATGCACAGACACAGGTCGGTCTTTCAGATGTGAATTTGAAGTGTGCACAACTTTTTATGTCTATTTTTCTCCATCTTTCTGCACAAGTTTGTGCTTTTTATTGTGACACACTTCAAGGCATGGGTCTGAGAAACTGCGTCCCCAGCAGGAAAACACTTCAAAGAAAGGCTCCATACGCCCACACACACTCTGAAAACTGAAAAACACACTCCACTCCACCCGCTCTCCTTATCACTCCTTCATCCAGCCTCCACCTCCTCATCCTCCGGCTCAGATGATGATCTGACAGCTTCACTGGCTGACAGAGATCAGACGCTGTGATATGTAAAGTGTGCCGTCATATCTTCTGGTACAGCCTTTTAAAACTTCAATGTCACTTTTATAAATGGTGTTTTCACTCTGAAAGTAAAAACTGAAATAAAAAAAATCAATGTTTGATGGTTAATTGATATCCAGGTATGAAGCATTTAATGAGGTCTGAAGAGAAATTGAGATTATTTGATTAAATATAGCACTTTGTTTTCAGCATTCATTAAGTCCCGCTAAATAAACACAGGGAATTAAAAGTTGCTTACCAAACTGCAAAAATGGCTTTAAAATCTGAGTTTTATTGCAAATTTTATGTTTTATGAACAGCTGATTGATGTAAAACAAACATCAGAGATACAGAAACATCCTTCCCACAATTTTAAGTCTTGAACTAATTTTGTCTCAAGAGAATTTGGTGAGAAATGTTCTTGGTTTAAATAATTACAAAATAAATATACATATTTAACTGAATCCTGCTGATTTAAGGAGGTTTCATTAGTTCAATTCAATTTCATTTCAACTCAGTTTATTTATATAGTGCCCAATTTTTTTTCTAAATTTGTACGCAACCTTTATGATTGTCTGTTGTTGTCTTTGTTGTCCACTGTTGTCATCACTTTTTGTTAAAATCAGGTCTCTCTTGTAAATGACTCCCCGAGGCTCAATGGAATTACCCTGTATAAATAAAGGTTGAATGAATAAAGCACCAAGCCACAACAGAAGTCATCTCAGGCCACAGAAACATTCATATACATAT